TAATTCATTACCCCGGCCCTTTTAATACATTAAACATTCAAAATAAAAATAAAATAAAACCGAGGTAGGTGAGAGGAGAGCACTCAGACACTGTCCACTCACACATGTACACACGCTCTCCATTTCAATCATGGATTAACACTTAAAAAATTCAGCCACCATGTATGTTTGTATGCACGTGTATATATATATATATATATATATATATATACACACACACACATGCACAAAAACATTATATATATATATATATATATACAAACATTCCAGGAAATCTGAAACATTCCAGGATTTTCTCCATATAATGGACTTCATTGGGAACCAAACAGTTCAAGGTCCAAAATGAGAGTTTCAGTACAGCTTCAAAGGCCTTTGAACGACACCAGACAATGAATAAGGTTCTTATCTAGGACCCTTCGAGTCACGACTCGAAAAAAGATTAATTCATTTTGATGAACGATTTTGAACAGGAGAGTCACGAACTCATCACAGAACAAAGCCAGGCGAGCATTTGTGCTTATAAAACGTAAACTTTTTTATTTATTTTTTAAATGATCGAACGTTTCGCTAGATAAGACCCTTATTCATTGTCTGGTGTCATTTAAAGTCCTTTGAAGCTGCACTGAAACTCTCATTTGGACCTTGAACCGTTTGGTTCCCACTGAAGTCCATTATATGGAGAAAATCCTGGAATGTTTTCATCAAAAACCTTAATTTCTTGTCTACTGAAGAAAGAAAGACGTGGACATCTTGGATGACATGGGGGTGAGTAAATTATCAGCAAAAGTTTTTTTAAAAGTGAACTACTCCTTTAAGTTACTACAACATTTAATAAAAAACAATTTAATTACAACTACAAAATGTTACAGAATAATGTAATATATAAATGAATAATAGCCTATAAAGAACCTTTATGCCAAAAGGATTCTTTCTTGTCATTATAGAACCTTTTTTTTGCATAACGGTTCTTTGGAGTTGAGTAAAGAACCCATGCTTCATATATAGAACCCCATTGAACCCTTTTTTTTCTAGAGTGTAGATTGATCGCTGCGCTATCGCTGGTTTTTCTGCATCGCGCACGAGCACAAAAGTTAAAGTTTTAATAATTGTTCTAATTCTACGAGAATATGGACGTCCACTCCACAGCTATAAAGACAACAACTGAGGAACAGTATCGCTGGAATCACTTCAGTAGGATTTTTTTTTCCAAATGATAAAAAAATGGACTGCAAATCAAGCCTATACCGACGTCAAAAAGCTCGAGAATATAATAGCCTACATGCATAACAACATAAGCCCACGCGTATAATACACAGAACTTTATTGTCTGTTAGTATGGAGGCAAATAGCCAAGTATCATTAAGCTATTATGTTCGGTGTGAACGAAAAAAAAACAACATCTATGAACTGTTTTTTTTTTTTTTATTATTCAGCCGTGCTGCATCTTGACTTCTTAAATGCATAAATGACAGTAATTTTCAGCACCATGTTTCTGCAAAGTAATGTGGTAAACAAACCCATAATGTTATTTTAACTGCCCCCATGTGTCCTGGGACTTTTGCAGTGGTTAAATATTATATTAGTAATATTAAATTAGATGTACGCTACACACACACACACACACACACACACACACACAAAAAAACCTCTCTCACACAAAACAGTAAGGTAAACATCTTTAATATTTCAGTAGACACCAACAAAGAGACACACACAGGCTGTAGGTATGAGATGCAGCTTAACTTCACTAATGCTTCTCTAAAAATAATTCTCTCACAATGTGTCATGCAGCGGCAGTGTTTACTGGAGAAGAACAAAAGTAAACAGTGTATTTAATTAAAGGAATCGTATTGATGCACAGAAAGGCTGTCACCTAAATCCACCTTTACTTTGCTCCTCCGAGAAGAAGAACAAATTCTGGTACATTTGAAAAGTTAGACCTGTATCATGACAAAACATTCACCAATTTTTTGATGAACATTCTCCTCATGTGTAACACTACTTAAAAAGTCCTGAGGTCATCTCCTTCCCCCTGCCTTCGCTCCACCCGAGTTTATCATCTACTCTCCTTAACGCTGGTGTTTCTGCCTCTGACAGGCTTTCAGCTTGTAGTAAATCAGTGAATTGATCTTGAGGGGCAGCAGAGTGTCCTGGGTTCTGCTAAAGATCCATTTTCATTTCACAAGCAGCCCCCCACGCCAGCATCCCCTCCAGCATCCATAAACATCAGCAACCAACCCCTTCTAAAGCCATCCGACTCAAACACTGACACTCATTTACAGGCTCGTCCGCTCTCAGTATCCCGCAGTACTGCATTACTTCCTATAGGTGAGTTTATTCATGGGTAGTTATCTTACAGACTAACGGATGCCTTGGGACTTGTGGGGCCTAGCGACACAATCACACTTTATTTTACACTAAGGAGCCAGTCTTTCCATTTATGTGTGAACAAATGCAATAGAATAATAAGAGCCTGTCAGAAATGTAGTATATAATATACCTAATGGTTCCATTGGTCTAGTCTAGACCATTTCATCTTCACTTTTTGGTGGTTTTTTTTAGCCTACATTACACCTTAATGTCAGCATGAAATGGAAGCTAAGGTAGTATTTTCTTCTCTATTGTGATGTATAAGAGCGAAATGGCTTCTTGAATAAGAAAATATGTAGAGCAGGATACATGAACAAAAAAAATAACGATAAAGCATTTATTATAAACTGATTTATTATTATTAAAAAAAATTGCTGATGTACTACCAGTAACTCCGTATAATGCCTTTAAGTAAACATATAATTTAACAATAACTTTACAACTTAACTTAGTGCCAATTGCAGTGTATATTAAAATAAAACAGAGAGAGAGGAAAAAGTACTTATAGAAAACATTTAAATCCTCTTATATAAACACCTGAAAAAAGGGTGATTTTAATTCACCTGTGTTCCAGCATGTTTGTTATAGAGCTGTAAAGTGTGTAGTCATAAATGCCAGAATATGAAGCTTTTCGAATCAACTGTGTAAACTATGTTGAACAAAATGTGAAAGACTTTATTTTTCTGGGATTATTAAAAACATTTTAGAAATTCCCGAGGGAACTCATGGTGATTTAGCTTTCCGGCTTGACCTACAAGTTGACGTCACAGCGAACAGCTCTATTTAGTAGAACATCATTATTAGCCTAAGCAGGGAGCCGTCAAGAGGACAAAAGGTGCCGAACCAAGTAACTTTCCCTACTTTCACAAACCCCTAAATAAAAGGAAGGAAATGAAGCAAATGCAATTCATTGATTACTGACCAAATTTACAAATGTGAAAATTCTAAGACAAATGCTTTTAAAGGGGTCATATAATCCTTTTCAACTTAATTTGATTCTTTAGGGTCTAAATGAAAAGTTTGTAATATACTTTAATTAAAAATTCTTATTAGTATTTTAAGAAAACACTAATTATACCTGGTCAAAAACAGCACTGCTTTCAGCATGCCGTTTCAGTGCATATGCCTTTAAATGATAATGAGCTTTGCTCACTCCGCCCCTCTGTTTTTTGCATGCGTTTCTTTTGACCTTAACTGTCTATGGTTTTGATTGGTTTTGACACAACCATAGCACGTATATTTTGAGGGTATATGTCTCTGAGGGCACATCTGTGCAATCGTAATCAGTTTGAACCGGAGTCGCACCCGGAACAAGATGACGGCGGGCAGGCCAGGATTGGCTAATCGGGAAAAATTTCCGGCGGCCTGTTGTCACGGCACTGGGTTTAATGCTTTCCCTATAGGCTCCAGTCACAACGCAGCCCCACAATTGTTTTATTATTATTTCCTCACAGCCACCCAAAAAAAAAAAGTCAGTTGCTAGAGATGTGCGAACAAAAAATATGAGATACGAAACAATAGCGCTTACGAGTCAGGGCCGTACATTCATGACCCCTTCAAACCTTCCAAAATAATGCAACTTATAAATAAAAAAAACACAAAATATATTTGGGAAGTCACAATTAAATTCCACTTGGCTCTAAAAACCCTATGACACTCCTGGTTTCACCCACAAGATTAAAGTGATTGCAAACTGCGACAGAACACCATGCAGGATGAAATGGCAGGGCCGCCAGTGATAGCGAGCTCCGTTTGACTGGCAGAATCTGGGGTTATGAGCCTGACGATATACACACAGAACGCAGCTGGAGGGAACGAGAGAGAGAGAGACACGATAGGATCATTGAAAACGAGCACACGAGGGCATGGGAGAGAGAGATAAGGGGAGAGAGCGGCAAAAAAGAGAAGAGGAGCTCTCATCTCGCTGTGGTTCTGCTGCTGGCGTATAAGATGCACTCCAGTGTAATCGTCACTGAAGGGTTACTATTTCCGAAGCGGCCCCACACTGGCTGCCAGTACAGCAAATTAAATAACACTTTACTAAGAGGGCTAGAGAGAGGGACAGAGCTGGATTGCAAGAGGGAGGAAAGGAAGAGAGAAGTGCTGATGGGACGGTGATGAAGTCTGGATTTAGGATAATTACTCTGCTGAGCTCTTCCTCCCTCTCTCTCACTTGCGCTCCCTTTTTTCTCCTCCGCTCTCATTATTTGGAGAAGCTTGCCTGATGACAGTATCTGAGCTGACTGTCGCTTATTAAAAAATGAAAATTGCTTCAGATGAGTTTATTAAACTCATCTCTCCCTCTCGCTGTTTTTCATCTGACTCCCTCACTCTATCCTTTCTTTCACAGATACAGCAGCATGTTCAGTCGAGATGAAAGGATACTCATCTTTTTTTTTGGAAAGGGTTATGAAAGATGCCCGAATCGTATGATACGAGTGTGAATGTTTTTTTTCTTCCACATAACAATTAGGAGTTCTCCTTTAATGAGGAATTTGACTAAATCAATCTGCGTTAATATTTCAAAATATTTCATTTGTTCTAAATCCATTTGCTGACATTATACTATTAACTTGAAGGCTTACGGTGTAATTAATGAAAGTTGCATTAAGAGCAGCCCCAGCCATTAGTTCAGAGAGAGGAGTTGACTTTAATGAGGGTCTTTTATCATAGAGGAACACAGAAAGTACATTGAAGAAGAACAAATAGTGCACTTTCATTACAGGTTAAGTGTTACAACCATTGACATACTCTTTTGGTTTCTTTTATTGCCTTAATTCACTTTTTATTTAACTCTATGAACAATATTCACGTAGGATATCTTCTATAATTTAAACGTTAATGCAGTGCAAATTACAGGAAATTGTTCCTGGGAGGATTAATAATGAGAATATGCCATATTTGAGACATTCTGAAATTCTTTTTTCCCCCCACCTAATTCAGTAATCATTTGCTCATTCTCATGTCGTTCCAAACACACATACATTTGTTGTTCTTGTGCTGAACGCAAATAAAGATATTTGGAAGAACACTGGGGTTCAAACAGCATTGGACCCCACTGACTTCTACTGTATGGACAAAAAAACAAAAACAAGGAAGAAATGGATACATGAGGGTAAGCAAACGACAGAATTTAAATTTGTGTGAACTACCACTTATAAGCATACATTGTTATTAATATTAACCGAAATCCAATGGCAATATGACCCTCAACTTAAAGCAGATACCAATCACAGAAATCCAAGTAGCACTGGTTAAGTGATATGAATAAATCAGGTGGTGTCAGACAGATGTTGTTGGCTGTAGGAGCTGCATCAGGTAAAAGCGAGACACTGAAGCCGGTGTTGTGGCGTTTCCACAGCAACTATGACATCTTCTCATAATTTGCTCTTTGGCGGTGAACCTGGAGGTGAAAAAACGGGTCTAATAGAGCACAAACACACACACACACACACACACACACACACACAGCACCAGACGTCTACAAGAACACTAATGCTTTGAGAGTTCAGCCACTGTGCGAGATCTCAATAACACCATTTCATAACTGTGATTATTAGAGCAAGGTTCGTCATGCAACATGTTAATACACATAAAAAAAGGTGCAAACAAGTCGATATGTTTGAGGATGTTAAAATATGAAATGCTAAATTAGTGTGCAGATTTTTTATTCATTTATTTTAACAATGTAAACACTGCATCGTTTAAAAATGCTAATGTAGTCAGTGTTAGTTTTGTTATCAGTGCAGGCTACACACGTAGAGTTATCACATAAGAATAACTTTAAACCACACTAGTTGATACTCTGTGTCCGAGAACACGGGAAAAAACAAACACAAATACATTGGTCTCATTGTCAGGAATAACAACTACCTGTGCTCTCACTAAGGAAGGGATTGATGGATTTGATGGTGAAAAATACTTCTGATTCTTTTGATTTTTGAAATGTACATGCAAACTGGGAAAATAATTGTAAATGTCACCTAACTCTTAAGAAAATCGAATCAATGTTAAAACAAAGTGAAAAAGTGAATGTTTTTGGGTGAATTCACTTCAAAAGCCCTTAAGCAGAGTGTGTGTGTGGAATAAAATGTCCCCACAAAGATTGTAATACCAGTAATATGTGGAGGCATAGACATTTTTTTAGAAAATGTAAAAATGCAGAAAGTATATTATGTGATAGAATATACAGTTTGTATAGTATAACACTCTTTATGTCTCCATAAAACATGTAAACCCAAAATTTTGTTTGTGTGTGTGTGTGAGACAGACCTCGTGGGAAATATGCAGACAACATTGTTTCGTAGAGCTCTTTGTCAGACTTCAGAAACACACAGAAGATGACCCGGTCCAGCTGACAGCAGACACAAACAACAGAAAAAGAGACAAGAAATAAAAAATAAATGACCATAAAGAATATCTCTTTTGAGCTGATTTTGCTACTGCACAGCAGAAACACTGCTACACAAATCATAGCTGTAATAATACATCACAATATTCACCCAAATGATTTCCATTACACATGAGTAGATGTTAAACTTTGTGCTGATTTGTACTCCGTTTTTGCCAAGATAAGCATAAACTAAGACGTGGCTTTACAGTAACCTATACTTCATCCATTTACGCTTCTTTCCATATGGTGGTGTGACTCCCCTTCTGTCCGGCGTTAACGGCTGCAGTGTACTTGCCACGTCAGCACACACGACGGCTGCAACTACAGTGTGGTCTCCCTAGTGGACCAGCACCACAACCATCTGGATTGAGCCGAGTAGGGGACATCTCTAGGGTCTTCAAGTGGGCACCTTCCATCCTCAGTGTTTCGTCGACTAGCCCACGACACCTCAAGAGGGCTCGACAGTGACTCTGGCATCCCAGAGTCTCCCTCCTCCTTCCCCCACTCAACTTAGATGCGTGCTGATCCAGACCACAAAACAATATCTGGTCGTAGGTTAGTGGTGGCAATCTCAGGTGGAAAATCTCAGCCAGCAGCTTCCAGTTGTCCTGGCCGAGAATTGGTTTTAACACCCTTTCTTGGTGGTTGCTCGTCTGGGCGGAGGAATTTTGTCTTCTGTGTGTAATGTTTTGCTAGAACAGGTGGCAACTTATTGGTCATGTTACGCTTGCCTTCCAATGCTAAAGCCAAAAACATCGCAGTACTTGGTCATGGCGCCAAGTAAACCGACCTTGGCTAAGAGCCACCTTACATCCTGTCAAAATGTGCCTTAATGCATTAAATGAAACTATACTCTTTTATCCACACCACACTCTAAAGCTATAGCAGGAATTCTTGAGAATAGAGTTAAAGTACGGAACAAAAGTGGCTGATTCCCACAGAAAATAAAAGAAACCTGCACATCTTTCGCTGCAAGTGCATTTCTGGGAAAGAGTTCATTTAGTTTGTTGTTACAACCTGAGATATGTGTCAATTTTCCTTTTCTGGAGTGTGAATTTAACTTTGAATATTCCGTATAACTGGTAAATAATTCACAGATTTTGACTAGTAGCCTCTCAGTCTCGTGTGAAGAGAGGGTCTGCTGAAAAAGGACACTTGTGTGCAATCGGTTAGCATTCTTTTAATGTCTGGGTCTTTCTAGCCGGAGAGGCGCAGTGCCAATGACCTAACTGTCCTTGACAGAACACCAGCACCAGTCCCAAATGCTTCATGGCAAGCAACAACATAAAAAGAATACATTGAGATCCGTGCCAGCATCCTAGAACCTCCATTTCCATGACAACAGTGGTGAGGGCAGGTGGGCTGTTCCTGCTTCTAATCATGTTCCTGTAACACATCATTGCATCCAGCTAGCACTCCTACTCTGCCACTGAAATCTCTCTCTCACTCTCATTTTTCTCTCTTTGGTGTCTACATTGTCTTTTTTCCATTCCAATTTGCCAAATGTCACTCTCTCTCTCTCTGGCTCACTCATGCTGGGTCGCTTTTTCTGTCTGATTAAGATTCAAAATAAAGCTTTATATAGCCAAAGCATTTGTAATATTATGAAAATACACATATGAAGTGAACTACAGAAAGGAGGAGGTTAAGTTTTCCATTCGATGTTTATATGGTTTCTGGGTTAAAAGCACATGGCAAACCATTTTCCACATACACTATCAATAAGAAAATATTACCACAATGTTTGTTATTATTCATGTTCAATTTTATAAGTTTTTAAAAATGTTTCAGGTGCAAAAAGTCTATTTTGAGTAGCTTTACTATAATGTTGGCTATTATTATTGTTAACAGTAGCCATCTTTTGGAAACACGAGTCCTCAGTAAACATTGTAGGTGTCATGAGGGTTACAGAGCACATTGACTAAGCTAAGTGTTTAGTAAAAAATGGCTCACTCATATTTCATAATTTCAAGTTAAAGTTGAATCAGAGATGAGTGGTTTTGTCTAAGTGAGTGAGCTTTTTAGTCTGTAATTAATTAGTCCGCCCATTTCTACCGGCCTGACACATTCAGATCAATGACAGAGTAATCAGCCAATCACAGCGACGCGAAGGCACTTAGTTTTTCAGTTACCCCTAACATTCACTGTTAAAAACCTTTATGCTAATTATTTTCTGATTTATGAATTTAACTTTGAATATCCATATAACTGATTAATAATGTTCATTTATTCACAGATTTTGACTGGTATCCAAATATTTTTGATCTCCTCAAAGAAAATGATTATATCCACATATATCCACATATTTTATTTAAAAGAATGAAAATCTAAAAATATAATAAAAAATAGATAATAAAAGATTCAAACCAATAAAAGTACTCTCTCTCTTTCATTCTCCACTATTCTCTCGGTGCGTATGGAAAGTGTAGAGGTTAGCAAGCACCAAAGCGCTGGTTAATTAGTGTGCTGTAATTAGAGTGTCTCTGTCATTTTGTATATCTATAGCGTAAAAGAAGGCGAGAGCGACTGAACACGCGGCGCAGAGTGAGATGAAAGCTCAGGACAGGAGAGACACATCAGTGAGAGATAAGAGAGGGGGGAAAAGACAGATGTGACCAGGATAAAGTAAGAGAGAGAGAGAGAGGCGCCGCAGTTTGGGATGTGCAGAATTTTTGTCAAAGACATCCTAATGGCTCATTTCCTGTTAAATTTACTCTGGACTCACATTTACTCACAGGGGCCAGAGATTGTGTCAATTCAGTTGTGAATTTTAGTATTTGTACTGTTCTGCAAAGCTTATACAAGCTCCGTTAGGAACCAATTAAAACTGAGGTTATGTGTGTGTGTGTGTGTGTATGCTGACTCAGAAAAGTAAGTCCCTATGCAGCCACCATCTGTTTGCCATGGCGTGCTCCTCATCGAACAATAACAACAATGGCAAGAAAAGAACACCAATGGGGAAATGACACACTCACATACACACCTTCTCGTGGTTTTGCTCCAGGTATTCTCTCACTGTTCTCAGGGCAACTTCGACTGCTTGTTCAGGCGGGTATCCTGCACCACACACACATCAGATTTACACTAGGGCTTTCAATCAATTCAAATGTTAAATCACGACATAAAAAAACTGATTTAAATTGCAATATGCTGATTGACTGATTACAATACTTATCCAAATAAGATCATTAAAAGCACTGAATAAATATTCAGTTTAATATAATAATATGTTGGGTTTTTTTTGCTTTATAGATTTTAATTGTTGGGCGTACACATACATTTACAGTAGCATCTAGCCATTTTTTTTAGCGTCTCCTGTAAGATCATTTTATTGTGTTATTTTATTTATAACTAATCACATTTAATTGATGCATTAAACTGAAAGCCCAAACCAATTAAATCCAACAGAGCAACACAACCATATATTATTACGGATACACACGGCACCATATTTTCTGCATGAACTTGAAAACGATGTACTGATGGTGGTTGTTTTCAAACTGAAGCTGTTTGCTAGGCTCATTTTTGAGTTTAATCTCAACACATATAGCTAAGAAGGGGGATTATAATCACAGTGACATGCTTTCGCACCTAATCTCTCCTAATCTGACCGTCTAATCCCAGACTTAATCTGGAAATCCCTCTTACTACTGCAAGTGATATCCACTCCTGGAATTCCTAAAATGACTTTCCTACTAAATAAACAACCACAAGTAAAAACACATGCATGAGCAGAGGTCACAACATAACCGAGGTTCATAAACGTACCATTTATTTGGTTAGATAGAGCGTCATAAGCACAGGGAATGAAGTTGATGTTCTTCATAAATGTGGTAAAACTTTAGAATACTGCATCTTACTTACTGAATAAACTAATAAGGAATTATTGAAGAACTAGTAGGTAATTCTTCATTAACTTCTTCACTGCTGTTAACTACTAAGGAAAATGTGTTCACTAATCAGTATGTAATAGAATTTTATGATTGTGTTAAATTACAGTAAGTTAATCAATAACTAATGAATTCTGCATACCTCATAAAGCAATACTACTAATTTTCTACTAATTAAGGTTCAAGAAACATAACTGAAGTAACTAATGAACATTCATACACAGTATAGTTACAACAATAATCCAGTTTTGTAGTGGTGGAAGAAGTACAAAAATCAAGTGCTTAATTAAAAGTACATATACCCCAATAAAAATATTACTCCAGTAAAATTATAATTAGGCAATTTTCAAAATTACCTTAGTAAAAGTACAAAGGTAATTATTTTTTGTTAAATTAATTAATTTAAAAAGTACTTAAAAAGCATATTATTATACTTAGTTATTTTACATTTTAAACTTATTTTGCAGCACCATTCAAGTTCCGGCAATATCACGGTAGCCCGCGTTTTACAGTGATTTGAAGATGCAAGAGCGCGGGCTCTTGCTCAGCGCTGCCAATTTGGTGCATTTCTTCTGCGAGATACAGGCTTTTGTACATTTTATTTAATCTACAACATTATTACTGTGCTGTAAATCTTATAAATTTAATTTTATGCAAGGCAATATACAAGGACGTGATGTCAGCTGAGTCGGTCTTTTTTGCGTGATGAAATCACCTGATCCCTTGCATAAAACAAATGATTTTATTTATAAAGATAGTAAATCTATTTGCATCAGATGTTAAAATATGTTCTTAGAGCTGTCACTGTTTGTTTATGGGCAGGTTATGGAGTCAGTCAGAGCATATTTCGGCTATGAGTGAAATGCAGGGCGGCGGTCTGAGCCCAGCTTCCGCAAGAGATCCAGCAACACTATCGTGAAAACGAGACCAGTTGATTAGCTACTTGATTTACTTTAACTGACTTCTCAACCAAACGGTTTAGCACATATTTTATTGAGAGGAGTACCTAACTTAACTCAAACTGATTGAGTCATCTCTATCATCTGGTTGAGGTATATTATGCCAAAAAAAAAAATCCAATAGATTTCACAGTGTCAATCAACAGCACCTGTCACAACACTTCTTCTAACATGGATGTCAGAAACAAATAAATCACCCCAGCCGTGAACTGTTTTGGTGAAAGTTTGCAAGCTAAGCAATAAGCATATATTTTTTTTTTTACATATTACACTGTTAGAGCCTTAACTTTACAAAATGATGTTACTCGTTATGATAAAACTTAAGTATATTTTAATAATTTTTCAAAAACATGCTCAACCAAACGGTTGATTTTGGCACATAACGGTTAATTGTCACCCCCTTTTTGAGAATTACTGTACTACATAAAATATAAAAACTAATCTAAGATTAGTTAGTTACTTCATAGTTATTTTTCTGGAACCTTAATAAGTAGATAATTAGTATAGTTGTTCATGACAGAATTTGTTAGTTATTGATTAACTAATTGTAAATGAACACAATCATAAAATTCAATTAGTGAACACACCTTCCTTAGTAGTTAACAGCAGTGAAGTAGTTAATGAAGAATTACCTACTAGTTCTTCAATAAATCCTTATGCAGTAAGATATTCTAAAGTGTTACCATAAATGTAATTCATTGATGTTAGCTCATAAATGCGGTTAATGAACGATTATAGGTTTTAATAATAAATGAGTCTATTGAAGACTCTAAATCAGCCAACCTGTAATCAATTACACACAGTCATTTATAGACTATGAATATAACGGAAAAATAAATATAAATAATTGATGCGAGACAAAACAATTACAGATGAAAGTAAACATTGATTAAGAGAAACCACTGAAATTTGAGCCTACCGTATACTCCAGTAGAGATGCAGGGGAAAGCCTAGACATCAACATCAAAGAGACATAAAACGAAATAGACTTGAACGTTATATAGTTAAAAGTGTGAAAAATGTGTTTTCTTATCTACAAACTACAAAATGCTCTCTAAAATAAATGTGTTGTATTGAGAAATTAAGGTTTACAAAGCACTTACGGTTGGACCTTTTAGTACAAAACCACAACAAAGACAGCTTTTACAAGGGAGGTTGAAAATAAACTGATTAATTACAACCCATTAAAGATACAATCCTTTACTAATGACAAACGAGCCACTTGTGCCCCAGAATTAAGGACCTGAGAAACAAAAGCTTTAATTTAAAGCAAATGGACAGGTCACAGTGAACTGTTGCTGCATGCTTTTAAAGGCATGTTTAAATCAATCTGATATCAATGACGGGAATGAAAATTCTGTCATTTACACACCCTCAAGTTCGTCAAAACTTTGGATTACTTTATTTATTTCATGATGTAACACAAAAGCAGCAAATGTAAACTGCAAAACGTTCTAGCTTCCACTTTTCCATACAAAATAAGTGAATGGATATGGGGGATGTTGAGAAAAATATAATAAAATAAGAGCTTTGTGTTCATTTGATTCTGTTTCAAAGCTATCAGAACACTTGTAATGATATAATAGATTACTTTTAATGGCAGGTCTTTTTTAGCTTAATTATCATCTGTGTCGGTTCAGTTTTAATTTTTTTTTTTTTTTAATTAACTATACGTTCCATGGCAAAATTATGGGTTAAATTTACTATGATTGTTACTGTGGTAATAACGTTTTTCGGTAATTGAAATACAGCTGAAATAAAATGTTGGCTTGGCAACTATCTGAAATGATTAAGTTGAAGTACTAAAATTACTAAAACGAAAATAAATGACCAAAAGATATATAAAAAATATTTAAACAAAGACTAATAACAATGACAAGAGCACATAAAATTACTAAAACAAACTAAAATTAAAATGTAAAATAAAAGTTAGATACAAAATATTAAAAAATACTTTGATAGAAATATAAAAAAAATAATACAAGTATTAATAACACTGGGAATGACATAAGGGTGAGTTAATAATGAGTGAACTTTTATTTTTTAGACAAAGTACTCGAATAATATTATTATTTCACAGCAAAAAACAGTTACATAAAGATAAACAGGAAGTCCTCATTAGACAAAATGATGCTGCATCAATCGCTTGCTCCTTTTTGAGAACCTTAACAATAGATCAGCTGTGCCTGTGTGTATTTTTATCCTTGCTGGTGCACTGTGTTAAAATCTTTTATATATGCAGTAACCTGTCTTCAATAAATCATTCCCTGAAAGAAATAAAGCCGAAACGGCTCTCAACTGTTTTAGTAGATTCATATAAAAATTGTTAGGGCAGCGGTGGAGTGCGAGTTGTCTGCTGTGTTATGACTGGACTGCTGGCATTTTGATTCTTGTACGTTGAGGCAGCCGTGAGGTGTGAGTGATACAGGGTGAGAGTTTAACATGTTAACAGTATGTACCCGAGTTTATGTGCATGCAGCGTGTTAGGATCGAGACTGCGGTAGGCTGTTAAAATTGCATACAAGTAGTTATATCACTGCCAAGACATGAAGTCTGAATCTGTTATGATTGAGTGTGTGTGTGTGTGGTGAGACTCTCACCACAGTCCGCAGGTGGTTCTTAGTTGCTGTGTGCAGACAGTTATAATAACAGTTTCTCAGCGCTTGTTCCTCTCTCTCCCCAACTGAATCGTGCACTATCGGCCCCACGGTGTGAATAACATCTGTGAAACAGAGAGATAGAGCCAGAAACAGAGAAAAATCATACAAAAATATCAGAAAATATGTTAATCGGTTTAATAACTTCAACTTTCTGTCTGCCCCCGTCCCGTTCATCTATCCATTTCCATAAATTAAAACACAAATAAGTTTTTGATACACTATCAAGCAAAAGTTTGGGATCAGTACGATTTGTTTTTCTCCAAAAAATGTATACTTTCGTTCAGCAATGACAAATTAAATTTATCAGAAATGACCGTAAATACATTTATACTGCCATTACAGCTAGGAATAAATTACATACATTACAATTAAGTTATTTTAAAGACAGAGTGATTTGTTCCAGAAACATTTTTTTGTTGTGCTGATTAATCCTGAAAGCAATCACTAAGTTAAGTGGCCTAAATTTATATGTATATTTATCGCCTGTGGAATGCATAGGAACATAAAATGTTCGTCCAATCAATGAAATTGGTCCGAATGCAACGATACAATGGCCTACCTGCCTGTTAACATACACTCACCTAAAGGATTATTAGGAACATCATACTAATACTGTGTTTGTCCCCCTTTCGCCTCCAGGACTGCCTTAATTCTATGTGGCATTGATTCAACAAGGTTCTGAAAGCATTCTATAGAAATGTTGGCCCATATTGATAGGATAGCATCTTATAGCAGTTGATGGAGATTTGTGGGATGTACATCCGCGGGACAAAGCTACCGTTCCACCACATCCCAAAGATGCTCTATTGGGTTGAGATCTGGTGTGAGGGCCATTTTAGTACAGTGAACTCATTGTCATGTTCAAGAAACCAATTTGAAATGATTCGAGCTTTATGGCATAGTGCATTATCCGGCTGGAAGTAGCCATCAGAGGATGGGTACATGGTGGCCATAAAGGGACGGACATGGTCAGAAACAATGCTCAGGTAGGCTGTGGCATTTAAACGATGCCCAATTGGCACTAAGGGGCCTGAAGTGTGCCAAGAAAACATCCCCCACACCATTACACCACCACCACCAGCCTGCACAGTGGTAACAAGGCATGATGGATCCATGTTCTCATTCTGTTTACGCCAAATTCTGACTCTACCGTCTGAATGTCTCAACAGAAATCGAGACTCATCAGACCAGGCAACATTTTTCCAGTCTTCAACTGTCCAATTTTGGTGAGCTCTTGCAAATTGTAGCCTCTTTTTCCTATTTGTAGTGGAGATGAGTGGTACCCGGTGGGGTCTTCTGCTGTTGTAGCCCATCCGCCTCAAGGTTGTGTGTGTTGTGGCTTCACAAATCTTGTATATCTTTGTAAACCCTAGAAATGGTTGTGCATGAAAATCTCAGTGTGTGCTTAAATTCTGACATTCAGTTCGGAGTTTTTATTTCCCAAATTTTTTAACAGCTCATATATTTTAAATGTGCAGTTATTTTCCTAGAGTAACTAAAAATAACAAGAGCAAATGCACTTTGTTTAGTCCAAACTTCTGTGCAGTTTGATATACTGATACTCTTGATACTGCTGTTATATTAAAACAATTAATTCACCTAAATATATGGATCTACCTTTTTAGGTGATTTTCAAAAGGTTAGTAAAGTCAAGTCATATTAAAAGTTTAAACAAATGTCATTCAAATATATTAAAGGGCTATAAATTATGCATTTTAAAATGTTCCATTAATAAGTGGTAGCAGTATATCAGTGATATTGGTCTTGGCAGAACTTGGCTTTTGCAACACAGTCTAGCTGACTAATAGAAATAACTAATGGCTGTTGGAAGGGTCTTTTGGCTTGTTTCTTCTTATGACATGATGACACAACATTGAAAAATCTCTACACAGTAACTGCTGTACTGATAGGCGCTGTCAACAGCTGAGTTGATAAGGATTGAGAGTGTTTAGTCCTTTCTACGGTAAGATAAATAAATAAGACAGTAAATCCCTATGGAATCAGCCGGATTTAGCAATCCTTTTACTAGCATTGATTATTACTATAACTATATTGGTACATAAGCATAAGCATAACAGGAAACAACTGAAAGCATCAAAATAAATGATGTTTGATTACTTTTATTTGTTCAAAAGTAAAATTCGTTTTAAATCGAAAAATTCAGAGTGTGCATGTTCAAATGTTTAATTAAAATGCAGTTACCCAAATGATTGTTATTCATGTAATAATAGAAAAATGGTCTCTATGGTAATTGTCAATAAAGCAAGCGCAATACTGTACATGCTTTTGTAAGGTCTTTTTTGGAAGAGAAAAGTGATGGAACCCCTGATGTGTTTTTAATTATTTCTAGACTTTTCATTAGACTTCACCTATACCAACTACACTTTCTGTTTGTGGTTCCCATTTCTGCTACCTGACTGTTTCTTGATTACTAAAGACCCACTTGTCCCCATCCAACACCCTCTCATCGCAATTTCCCATTTCCTCCTCACATTGACACTCAGCTCAACCAGACGGCAAGTCCGTTTCCCTTGTCCTCCTTTTCTCTCTGCGTCTACCTTCTGTCTAAAACATTCATCCATCTGTCTTCTCAATGTCTTATGTCCTTGTGTGGCATGTCCTCAATCTTTCCCCTTTGCCCCGCTTGTCTTTTGGACGTCCAGCATCCCTCCGTCAGTTCCACTCCCACTCCTCTTTCCCTCATCCATCCGCCCCCCGACACCTCTCTGCGCTGCGTGCTGTCCGGCTGCGTTTATTTACCGCTGCACTCTGCAGTGTTTACAGCATCGATCCACCTCTGTTTGTTTAGTCCAGCAGCACCATCATACATCAAGTCAGGCAGAGACATTACTCACACACAAACACACACACACACCCAGACGCTTGCATATGAAGTGCAAAGGAAAACAATGGACAGGGGAAAAACAAACTGAGAACACTGGGCATATGTTTGACTGGAAGTAAAGTGTTGTCATGTTTGTGGCACAGCATGAACTGATAAAGCAGGTGTAGAAGGAAGAGACACGATGACATAATCACCGCAGACACAGGAGCTGGAGGTTAAAGCAAACTACAGAAAACTGCCGGGAGGTGTAGATATCGCACTGCTCAGCTCCCTCTGTTTGCTCTCTAAAACAAACACACACAAGCGCACTTACAACAGGAGTGAGCACAGGGAAGAAATTAACATTTTCTACAGATTTCAGATGTTTACGATGGAGCATAATGGAGATCCGGGACCTTGTAGATTCAAAGAAATTGATCATTTTAGCTGTTATAAAATATTTGTCATATAATCATGTCATTTTTTTATTTTTATATATACTTTAATTTTGTGTTGGATCTTGATGCTTGTGTATAAATAATAATAATTAAACTTAAATAATAATTTAACCAAAAGGTTAAGATATATAGATGATATAAGACAAGATTTATGTACCGCATTTCAATACTTGAAAATTCACAATACTACCGTATTAGTGGCTTTTTGCTGTAATATATGCTGGGTCACAGTGTGGTCGTACAGCTTGTCTTCTAAACCATTTTTATTTCACCATAACCTCCTGATCTGCTCATGAGAAAACATACCATTCTCTTTCTCCCCACGCAGCTCCCAAAACCTGACAACACCCATAACATATCGGTGAATCTACTCCAAACTTGCTATTATCTGCCTCTAAATCACTCCTCTGTTTGTTCCCCTTCCTTTCCGCCTTCCTCCTACCTCCTCACCTTTCTCTTTCCTCTTCTCCCTCCCTCTCAGTGAAAGATCTTCTGTCTTTCTGCTACCAACTGTTCACTCATCCAGACCAAACCCAAGTCTCCTCTCTCATGCACAAAGGGAGGCCCTGGTCTCTCCCACCAAACCCCCCGGGAGAAAAAGTCAGTGTCTGCAGCAGGGGAGCAGGTGCGTTTATCTAACAAAAGACAGCTGGCTAAGACGGTGCAAGAGCTCTGCTTATCATCTGAATGGTCCGAAGGTGTTCGACTCACTTTTTGCGTTTCACCCCTTTTTCTCAAATTCAAATCAGCTAGACAGCTAAGTTACAATATACCCGTAGTCACCAGCCGATCAAGCACGACGGCGCTCACAATAGATCCCTCTCCTTTCACCTTGGCTTTCATGCGACAAAGCTGTGATTTTAAAGAAAGTTGCAGCTCAAAATTGATTTGAGATAACGGACCTAATATTAGGTCATTGTAAAAGTACAATGTATTTCATTGGATTGTTTAATAAACATAATTAAATAATTGAACCTTGTTATTCTTCCAGTCTATGAGCAAAAGACGGATGAGGGGAGAGAGAAAAAGGATTAATTGTATAGCCGAAGAGAAGGGTGGGTGTTCGATTGGCCTGTGTGGATTTTAATTAGTGTTAATTGGCCACAGAGGGAAATGAAGGCTAAGAGAGAGTGTGTGTATTGATAAATATGCTAGTCTCTTCTCTTTCTCCCTCCTAGCAATGGTTGTTTTGAATGGTTGGGTCCCTAGTCAAAGGCTGTATTGGTACACAGGTGGACTTAGGGACTGACAGGATCTGCACATTCTGCCTTTCATTCCCCAATGAGATCCACTAGGTTTTCTAGTTCACCCCCTCAACCCAGGGAGAGAATGTATTATTAACATACTGAAGACACAAACATACACTCCCCTATCTTCTTCCAAAAAGCAACAGATGTGCGAGCACATGTGCAAACTGCAGCTCAGCCAGTCAAAACATGACAATACTCTATACAAACACACAAATCTCAGATTTTATTTAGGGGCTTTAGCCTGTAATTATAAATGCTTTCTATTACTATCACGCAATTGCGGTTCAAGCTGAAGTATGTAATTTCTCCACCACCGACTGCAAAAACAAATATTGTTTTCAAAAAAGGTTTTCGAATACGCCCACATCAGTCCACTGTTCAGTTGATTGAACAAACTAACAGCCCCGCCCAACTCGCGCCATTGGTAGAGTCAGTATTTTTTGTGTACGACTAGACGGGTAGCTCAAAACAACTGGGCTACAGAGACAAAATAAATAACCTATGAATAGCTTATTTATAGTTGTCTCTGCATATTAGGATTGGATAGACAAACGATTAAGCGTTTGCACTTTACTCTTTTTGCTATGGACATGATTCATGATCTTAAATCTTCCAGCATGTTGAGGAGAGCTTTGCTATTATTTTTTCAAACGATTAGAACCTAGAATATAGTGGATGATATAATAAATAAAAATACAATTGATTTACACTGAAGGAGTGACCTGACGCTTGGGGATTGGGCTGAACATACAAGCATTTGTGGCAGCCAGTTTTCAGAAACCTGAAAATTTTCTTTTAGAAATGTTACATTTTAACAGCTCACAAATCACAAATAGTCCAAACACCTGTTCCTACATAGCTTATAATCCGATCAGTGTGCGGTGCACGCAGTCAGACACAGACACACTAATTTCAGTCCTACAATTACTGCTGATATTTACTCTTCTACTCCCACAGTTCGGTACAGTACAGAAAGAGAAAGATGAGAAGAAAAAAACACAAAGTTGGAGAGAAAAATCAACTAAAGACTACATAAAATCAGAGAGCATAGCCTGGAGTTTAAGGCAAATCATTAGTGTGTATCTATCTGTGTGTGTGTGTGTGTGTGTGTGTGTGTGTGTTGGGGGTGGCTTGAGAATCAGCAGCGTGTGCATCTCTGTCTCTGAACAGCAAGGTACGGTGGGGGGGATCATAAATTAGACAAGGAAATTACTGCTAAGTGTGCGAATAAATTAAAGTGCGCTTGCTTCTGTAAACACTGTCTGACTACATAATTACTGAACACTCTCTGGAAGAGTGAAAGAGAGGGAGGGAGATGGATGGGGGAGGGAGGGTTGGGAGGGAGGGAGAGTGATAGGCAAAAAGCTTTGCGTTGATGGTTTATTCATTTATTCAATCGGCAGCGTGCAACATGTACGCAACCGTTTGACATTTCGCTAGAGAGGTTGCACAACACCTGCTTACTATCCAAAGATGGGAATATAAAACCTAGCACAAGTCAAAATCAGGTGTAATTCAGTCTACAAAAGTACTGTGCTGACTTTGATGCAATCAAGCATAAACATGAACAAGATTTGCTCTTTGCCTTATCCATTTAGCACACTGGAAGAAACGTTTAATTCATATAAATGATTCTGAATTCATCATCCTATTCCAAAGAGCTCAAACCATTTAGACTGATGTTTATATGGCATTAGTGTGATGATGATGAGTTTGTTTCATGAGCAACTCACATTTTGCAGGCAGACCATAGGCCCCGGTGATCTTGGCCTCCCCCGTTTCGCAGCCGTTCAGAGTGGCACATTCCTTCTTCAACAGAGGACCAGCCCCACGATGAATGGCACCATCCACTGAAGGGGGAAAAGTGTATATCTTCATATATATATATATGAAGAGTTCAGATGCAAAAGCCTCTAAATGCCATTTGAAATTTTCTTCTTTAATGATGATTTATGTCAAGCTTATATTTTAAGTTCAATGATTTCACTTAAATGGCAATGGTAATTACCTATTAATTGTTATTTAATTGAAATTACTGAACTTGAATATACAAGTTTGACAAAAATCATCATTAAAGAAGAAAATTTCAAATGGCATTTAGAGGCTTTTGCATCTGAACTCTTCATATATATATACACATACATGCACAGTTATTTTTGTCAGCTATAGATCTAGCATTCAGCACACTTTTAATTAGATACAGATAAAGTAGTACGGTAAAGTTACATTTATTAGAATTAATTATAACATTTATTTAAAAGACTGAGAAACAGATACATGCATATCTATATACACAATAAATATAGTTTATGACATATTTTATATCGAAATGTACTTTTTAAAACATTTCATGCATAAAAACACCAGTAACACTTTACAATAATTAACCACAACATGAACGAAGAATGAAAACTACTTTTGCAGCATATATTTAATGTTAATCTCAACATTTACTACTACATTTTTAAGCTCAAAAGTTGTACCTGTTAACATCACTTAATGCACTGTGAACAAACCAAATATTAACAAAGCTTAATCAATGCTGTAAAAAAACATATTGCTCATTGTTAGTTCATGTTAGTTAATGAATAAACTAATGTTAACAAATGAGAACTTATTGTAAAGTGTTACTAAATCACCTGCCACCTCTAAATCACAGGCAGCTGTATATGATGAGCCCTTTCCCATGACAAATATTGTGCAGTTTTGGGGTGACACAGCTTACCTCACTTTAATGCTGACAAACCCAACCCCATTTATCATTTGAGGACACAAAAAAACTGATTTCTCATAGCGCTAAGGGCAGCAATTTGAGGGCCATAACAGTTTTACTCGAGGGTTCGTGACACTTTTGCTGATATGTGCTCAGAATCTGCAGGAGCGAGAGATAAGAGTGATAAAAAGATAGAAAGATAGGGAATATATAGTGAGAAATACCAGGGAGTGAAGTGGAGAGAATGATGAGGAAAAAACAGAGGGACAGATGGAGGGAAGATATACTCAGGGCTTTGGAGTGGAGGAAAGGAGGATGAGAGGAAGAAATAGGGGAAAAGATGTGAATGTGGTGATGAGGTACGCCTGTTGGGAATAGCTTGCTTTCCTGTGTAATTGCAACATGCATGCACACACACTTTTTATTTACACAGACATCTTGTTAGCAGATACTAATTGGCTTTTTGCTCACCTGACGGGGTTTGTGACACGGAAAAAAAAAACATATATATAGGACATTTTCCTATATTGCCTACACGTTTTTTTTTTTTTTTCCGCTCTCTGTCATATGTGCTCATAGCATTTAATCCCACGCACCATGCACGCAAACATGCATAGGCTCCAAACACACAACATTTTGTGTACAAAAGCATTCATTAACAGTTATTCTCTATTTCCCATTAAATTAGTTTGGTCTGAACTGGTCAGCAAGTGTTACCGAAACGCACCCTCTTATTGGCTGAGCTGGTCACCATGGTAGCCATTAGTAGGAGCATTTGATTGGATCTGGCACATCTGCTTGCCCATGTCACAAATCCCTTGACACCAAAGCACTATCTCTCTCGAAACACTTGCCTGCCGTTCTGGGTTTTAAACCAGAATACCAACATTCCCTTCAGTGCCAAGTGGAGAACATAACACATTTTCACTCAAAAAATAAAACAATCAATCAATACTTATCCATCCAGGTTGCTAAAAAACAGAAAAACATTTTTAAAAGGGAGCCATATGCCAAAATGCAACATTACACCACAAACACAACAAAACCCCCAAAGAGACTCTGATGTCAGTGTCCTTTTGTATAATCTGGAGCTTTCCCAGCTCTGAGCTTCAGGACTGATGTCTTCTACTGTAATGAACAGAACATTTTGATCGCCTTTAGTTATATGTGCCATTTCCAAGTATGATCCATCTGACCGTGAAACTAGAAAATCTAGCATGAATTATTTCATTCACTTGCAGACTCTCTTCCTTATTTCTTTTTCCATTTGCCTTCCTTTGACTTACTGTCTACACAGCGAAGAAACAATTTTTTTAATTAATTTTTCTTCTTGTTTTCCAGTTAAATATTAAAATACCTTTAAACATACATTGTGTAAGATTATAAGACTTGTTTATAGAGTTCAATTTTGTTTTTACCACAATAATATATAATGAATAAAAGGCCAACGCGGCTAAGTTAAATAAGCCTAATTCAAGAAATTCTCTGACAACCAGCCTTATTATACACATTATCGTGCTCCTGTTATATTACCATTTTGCTTCTAGATTTCTTAGACTATATCTTGACTAGATTTCATTAGATTTATCTAAACTAGATTTCAGAGACTATATCTTGAATTTAGGCTTATTTAACTTTACTAAATAGATGTTTTCTTCTTGTAATAAAATAAACTTCATTCAAAATCATTCTATTCTAGTCTAGACATTTTTGTTTTAAGAATGTTTATTATTACTGAAAAAAGAAAAGCCCAGAATACTTAATAGATTTTGCAGTGCATCAGAAATGCTGACCAATAATAAATGGTTCTAGAGTTTGAAAAACTGCATCCGAAACAACGTATATACCACTGAACGACATCCTAACTCTTTTCTTTATTCTCTCTTTTGTTGTTTTAAACACATCCCCTTGTTTTTGCCCTCTCAGCTTTAGTGCTTTTCCTGCTTTAAACACCAACAGGCAGAGACTCACCCCTCATCTCTCTCTCTGCATGCAATGCTCTGAGGCTGTGTCCTCCCTGATGTATAGTTTGTCCCTGCCTAATTATCATCCAGGTTTGCTTTAACAAACCTCAGGAGTAGAGCCAACAAAAAGAGAGGGAGAGAGTGTGAGCCTGAGAAAGCCGATGATATGTTTGCGTACTGCCGACAGAAATAGAGAGAAAAGAGGTGTTGGAGTGTTAGGGAGTGAGGAGAAGAGGTGATGGGGTAAGGCAGTGAGAGAAAGATGAGTGCGGAGTAAAACAGAGAGAAAGAAAGGGACATGGAAGACACGCAGAGGCACGAACGGACGGGAAGGTTTAAATTGAGGGAGGTGAAGGTCAGGCCTAAATCAATCGCTTTTGCCATTTGTGTTTGAGTAACTACAGAAAAAAAAACAGGTCAATATACAGCACTGCGCACTTCTGAATTTGTGTTTGTGTGTGTGAGACGTGGTTCTGATGAGTAGGATTCTCAAGTGCAGATTTATCACTAGTATTGATTAGCTAACGGGCAGGCACTTAACACGGGCAGAGAGCAAGAAAAGTGCACGCTTACAATCGACACATGCATATGCGTAAATACTGAGTCAACAGTTGGACATTTCGGTTCATTTGCATAGCACTCTACTATCGTAAATTATATACCTAAGATCTTGCATTGCACTTTCAAAATGCACACGCACCTCTTACAAAGACCGATTTGTAAACCATTTTTTGGTAACACTTTTGGATTTTCTGGTAACACTTTACAATAAGGTCTCACTTGATAATGTTAATTAGTGCATTAACTTAAATAATCCACTGTAAAAAATAATCTAAAAACAACGGTAATCTACTGGCAGCTGTGGTTGCCAGCGTCATACCGTAACTAAACGGTGTGTTACTGTTTTTGTGTTAGAGCATATAAAGTTTTGTTGGCTACTGTAGCTGACAATATGGTGTTTAGCTGTTAATTTCAAAAACAGCAACACACCGTATTTAACAACCAGCTGCCAGTAGTTTACCATTTTTTTACCAGATTATTTTTTACAGTGTGAGCAATATATTTTTACAGCATTTACCATTCTTTGATAAATATAATGTTCAGAATTTATTTGAAGTCAAAATCTTTTAACATTATAAATGTCACTTTTCTTACTTCTTTACAAAAATGAAAAAATAAATCTTACTGACCCCAAACTTGTGTGTAGATCAGAATTAACCAAAACCATTTCAATTCCAATTGCATTTCCAAAACAATGCTCATTAATAGAGTTGCACATGGCAATAGTTTGATTGTTGCGTGAAATATTTAAGGCCCCAGCACCGATGGTGAGAGGACCTATTGTTTTTTCTTTAAATGGTTCATAATTTAGTAATTTTAAAGAAAGTGCACAGTAAAAAAAGTTTGAGAAAACTTAAAAGTTTAAGGCAACCAGCTGCAGGACATTTCAGGAGTTTTCTCAACTTAGCGTTAGTTGTCCAAACCTTTTCATGTCAAATAGTTGATTAAACTTTAAAAACAGAATTTTTTCAAACAAAATGGAAGTTGGATTTTTTTACAGTGTGGTTTCCTTTGTGATAATGGGTGCATTATCTGGCAAGAAAATAAATTAATAAATAAATACAAAAATGTACATCTTATGTTCATTTATTTACGACATAATAGCCTATTTTATTTATGTAAGAAGAAAAAGCAATGCACTGTAAAAAAATATGATTGAAAAAAATATGAAAATATGACAACATATTTTTACATAGCTTTAACTCATCAAAATAAGTTTTTTTTAGGCAAGGCCTTTTAATGTAATTTAAGTTGAATGGACTTAAACATCCAAGTTGATTGTACTTAGCATCAATTATTTTTCCTTTTTTCAGTGTAGGAAACTGGTTACCAAAAACTACTGTCAATTACACTGTATAAAATTACTTAACCAAAGAATGACATGATTTACCAATATTCTAGAGAAGTGAGTCTTTTACTTTTAAATATAGTTCTGAGATTGTTCACCCAAAGATGACCATCATTCACTCTCATGTATTTCCGAACCTTACTTTCTTCTGAGAAGCACAAAATACGATATTCTAAAGAGCGCTGGGGTCTGAACAGCACTGGGTCCCATTGATTTTTATTGTACTGAAGAAAATATTTTCTTTTGTGTTTCACTGAAGAAATACGTGAATAAATACAGGTTTGGAACAACATGAGGATAAGTAAATGATGAGAGAATTGCAATTTGGATGAACTCTCTCTTTAATTCTGTGAAGATGGTTTAGCAGCAAGTCTGGTGGGAACGAGTGTGCTGGTACAGTATGTAGCTTCTGTTGCTATTTCAGGTCTAGAGGTGATTTAACACAGTGCACAGTCTATTGGAAAAAAAAGTTGTTACATGTTACACACTCGTTATTTAGAGAACCTCCCGGGAGCAGGAACATAACAGGCCCGTAACTAATGACTAAAAGTGCAACTCTGAGATAATTGCAGATGTAGTTACTGATCCTCAGGAGAAACCTACTTATGTGATGGGCTGTAGTTTATATGTTGGATGTTAAACAATGTCAATATTGCAACATGGAGCATGTTCAAAAAACACAAAGAATTGCCATGGGACCATATCCAGATACCTTTGCAGCTTGGTACTTTTTGTTATATTCCCCTTTAATTTGAGTTAAGACTTAACTGTTTGTGCAGCTGCAAAGCCAAAGAGAAAAGAGCTCATTGTTTGATGGATATTTGAACGTACAGATAGAAGGCAGGAATCTGAAGGCTTTACTGTATTTCTGAGAAAAGCTACCGTCTTGTCAGATCCAAGTACTTTTTAATACATCACAGCGAGCAAACAGTTTTGAAAAAACACAGTCTCTCTTTAATTTCACCATTATTTTCAGAATCTACAGATGAATTGTTTTTCTTTTGTCGATGTTTGTGGGTGAGTGTGTGTGTGTGTGTGTGTGTGTGTGTTCTATCAGGGCAGCTCTATCAGAGATGGTTTAAGAGTTTAGCGCTCATTTCTTCTCACTGGGTCTCTAATAGCTCTTTTGCTCCTCAAATAGCGTCTCTGTTCTCACTCACAGAGCTTTCAGTGATTGTCTGCTCAAATTCAGAAAAGTGCAAAGCCTCAGGCTGACAACAGTTCCCATCACACACACGTTCTCACTCTTTCACCTTTATTTCCACCTGCTGATTCTCACTTGCTCTCTTTCACCTTCTAATTCCTCTCACCTCGCCGATGCTTCTCTCCTTTAATGTCTTTTCCCTCTTGAGCTGTCTCTACATTTGTCTCATTCAGCCTCTGAAAAAGAGAGGGGTTTGGGGGAGAATTGACTCACCTCCTCCTCCACCCAGAAGTGTCTTGTTAGCTGAAACGACAAAAAGAAAACAGGACTCTTCAGGGAAGATGTCAAGAGACATTACACAAACAGTGACTTAAAAGGAAGTAATACCTTACTGATGACTGACAATACAAATTTAATCAGAGGGGAAAAGGACAAGAATTAAAGAACCTCAACTCAGTTTAAAAACTTCATAATAACTACCGTTCAAAGGTTTGAGGCTGGTTTTTATTGTTTTTGAATAGACTTGTATTATCATAATCTTTATTTCATTACAAATACAGTAAGATAAGAACTAATATGACATATTTTATATATATTTAGAAAAGTAATTTATTCCTGTGATGCAAAGCTGAATTTTCAGCGTCATTACTCCAGTCTTCAGTGGCACGTGATCCCTCAGAAATCATTATAATATAAATCTTTGTTATTATTATCGATGTAAAAAACAGTTTTGCTGCTGATTTTTTTAAGCATTATACTTTTTTTTCCAGGATTCTTTAATCAATAGAAAAAAAAGCATCATTTATTTAATATCGAAATATCTGCAATCTTGCTGAATAAAACAATTTCTTTACAAATATAATATATCTACTGTATCCAGTATGACAAAAGAGATTGTCCATTATCGGAAGAAGCCTGTTTAAAAGGGTACATATTTCTTCACTTTTTTTTAGAGCTCAGCAGACTATGAAATCATGCTGTACCTTTAAGAACTAAAAGCATTAAAATAAAATTAAACATAAAAATATAAAACAGTAAATGTTATACAGTATTATATAAATAAATACATTTTCTTTTGTCAGATTGTACAGATTTTCCTTATGACACTTTCATATTTCATTGTGAGCCTGGTTGACCAATGTACTAATTGACATGTGCATCAATACAGTAAAAAGCAGGGTCCTGACCCTTGTGTCATAGGTGAAACGAAAGCCAATTTTGCAAATTAAACTTGTAGAAAAAGACCTGCTTTTCCATTGAGACATTACTGAGAAAATATTCGGCAAAACATCCACAAAAACGAAAAGTTGCCTCTGCTCACGTAAAACCATGTAGCACAGATTTGAGTTCAAGTACGAGGCTGTCGCACAACAAAGCAGAAGTGAAACAACATTGTTTTAATGGTCAGAAAGTGAAGCTAAAACAAATTAGCAATAAGATTGCTGATTATTTTTTCAGCACCTCTGCACATGAACATTAAATTGCATGATAAGCGACGAGCTTAAGAGCCAACAAATAATTTACCAGATGGAGTTAAATGTAAGCCCAGACAAACACTTTTTTCAAATGAATAGACACCCACAGAAAGAAAGCACAAAACACACACGCACAATTTAGATAGACTGACAAACAGAAAACAGTATGGAGAGAGAGGTAACCATAGCAACTCCAAAGCCCAAAGGTTTGTTACTGAAACCTAGTTAATTACACAGGGAGGGCAAAGGAGGAGAGATGGAGACAGACGAGATGAGAGAGACAGGAGAGACGGAGCAGGAAAGATGTAATTTGCAAGTGGAGGCCGCTTTCTTTCCTGTCTGTCAGAGGGGGGAAAAAAAACTACAATTGAAAAGGAAAAAGGGATCAGATATGCACGAGGAAGGACCGAGAGCAAAACAGTGGGAGAGTGAATGAGCGAAGGCTGTAAGTTGATGATACCCCAGGGAGAGAGTTTTACCATCTGCTTAAACCCTGTGTGCGGTGTCTTACCCAGGGGAAGGGTGACAGTAGTACTGTAGAGATGATGATGTTCGCACACACCACACACACTCTCACAGCTCTGTGAGGCATATTGACATGATGAGATTCTATGCGGGAATGTGTTCACAAAATGCAATCTTCTTATTCAGAACTGTAACAATTCCTTTCAGGCAGGATGAAATGGATCTGCGATGAAAACAATGTGCATGAACATCAATACAGAGGTTGGGATTGTAAACAAAAATACTGCGCTGATTCTTAGTGTCAATTCGACTCAGCACAGCAAAGCAAACAGCAAGAGGCAATATACGCCAAATGACGAAAGTTTACGGGCGGATTAGGATCACAGAGAGGGATTAGAAAAAAACAAAACAAAAGGATGAATAGTTGAGAATAAAAAATAAGTTCAACCAAAGGTTGGGGGTGAGAGGAGGGATGAAGGTGGATGAGAGGTAGAGAGAGATGAAGATAAAAGCTGGGCAGTGAATGTGCAACAACAAAAACTCCATAAATGAAAAGATGAAAAGAACAAAAGAGAAAAGGTATTTTTTTCCTTCAAAAACAAATTTCTTTATTTGTTGTTGTATTTTCTAATAAATGCATTGATAAGAAGAGCTGACAGAAAAGTTCCAGCTCATATTTTCTGAAATGAGGCCTCACAAAAAAAAAAAAATAAATAAATAAAAAATGTTGTTTGTGTGTTTTCGATTTCATGTTATAAATCAAATGGAAAGGTTATTAATGTTGTCACATTTTCCTGGTTAAATAAACATTATATTATATTACATTCAAAAATAGAAAAAAGGAAACCAAATATAATTATATTATTTATTTTTACATTAACTATGTAATTCATGTTCTAATTATTCAAACCAAGTATAAATCTCAAGTTAGAATTGAGCCTTTTTGCATTTATTACAAAATAATAACTAAAGGTAGTAACAATTTAGTAAAAACTGTTCAGCTGTTCTTTTTAGGTCCACTAATTTTTGGAGCATTAGTCATCAAGCTCAATAAAAACTGATCACAGACATGAAGATGTACAGTAGGGTACAAGCTATGTGTGTAATGTGTAATGGTCACCAGCTGGAGTGCCCTTGAGTGCACTTCAACCTGGACTATTGTCTCGCTCATAAACATTTCCCAGAACTCATCACTGATTGAATTCACCTGTATCTCATTACCTTGTAAGTATCAGCCTATTTATACCATGTTCACTCAATCACTCACTGCGAAGTTATGTTGTTGCACTGCATTTCCGAGCATTTTTCCTGGTTTCATGTCTCTTGGTTTTTTGGATTTCTTGCCTGTTCCGTGGATTACTCTATTGCCTCTGACTCCTGTTTTGTTTTGTTTGTTTGGTTGTTGTTTTTTTTGGCTGTTTTTTAACCCATTGCCTGTAATTTGGATTATGTGTCTGGATTGCCCCTTCATTAAAACTGCGTTTGGATCTCAACCTTCATGTCTCGGAGCAGTTTGTGGAAAAATATAGCAGGAAAAATATATATGTTTGTATGGAACATTGAGGGAGCAACAGATTTTGTGTGAAAATAAATCTTAAAAGGTTTATTTTGTTTAAAAATCTTAAATGTATGCGGTGGCATGGTAGGGAAGGCACACAGATTAATCAAACTTAAATTAATCTTTAAGGAAAAAGTTTTTTTAGTCACTTTAGGGATTTTAGGGAAGGCTTTTTTTTTTTTTTTAACCAGTGTTAAAAGGCAAAAGGCACAACATATTAATACAATTACTTAAAAAAGGTAAAGTATGTTTTTAATAATGTTTTAGTTAGTACTTCAAAACAATCATTTCAGCAAAGTTTGTAGGCTACTGTTTTCTGTTTAAAAAGAATTAATTTTTATTCAATATACTATCATTCAATTATAAATACAAATATATAAAAAATATAAAAACTAAATTATCTGAAAAAGTGATAGTAGTAACATTAAATTATATTATATAAATATTATATTATTTTAAATATGATGGTTTCATAATAAATATGGGGATTGCTAGACGCATCTTAATATGTGACATTTACCATCTGAATCGTCATGTCAACAAATGGAAAAGTCAGCCAGATTTGCTTTAATTATCTTGAACAAAACAAGACCTTTGTCTCAAAATACATTAATTTTAGCGATTCTAGCATTTTCTACTTAAAGCTACAACATAAAAAACCCACATCAAATATCAAATTAGCACAGAATTGCTGCCCGAGAACACGTCAAGGATCAGCCTAAGTTTCCCATGCATCGTGAAAAGCTGATGTTTTGTAAGGTGCTGTTGCAAGTTGTGCAAATCTAGTTCAGAGAAAAATCAAATCAAATGCACCTTTTATCACAGTGCATCTTTAGCCCCGTCGTATATACTTTAATTTCCCCAAACTGATTGCTCACTAAAAAAACCCACAGTCATCATATTTTTAGGCCAATTCAAGTTTGATTTTGACTTGCCAAAGTGATGATAGTCTTCCCATTGACCCAATCATTTTATTCATTTAGACTGATTTATCACGTGAGCCATTCATAGCCGATCATAACAAATCACATCCAAGCATGATGCAGGCATTGCATCCTCTCACGTGACTTTCCCCCATTTATTCTCAATTAACCCTCACCAATCCACCGCATTCTTTAGGGGGTCAGTTAAAACTCAATGGGCTCAGGGGAGGCAAGAGAGATGCTGCGTCCCACTGTAACTTTACTTTACCTGCTGGTGTCGTTTGTGGACAGTGTTACTTTAGAAAAACTAGTGATTTATACACTTTAGGTTTTAATGACATATTTTGCAATATTTGCATAGTTTAATTTTTGTAATATGGATAATTTTCTCATCCTATTTTTTGAAGAGGCACTGCCTCCCTTGCCTCCTCCTTGGAGAAAACGCCCCTGAAATATACACATAGCCTATGGTATAGGAGTCATACACAACACAATCAAGTGTGGTGGTACAAAAAAAGTAATGGTCAAGTGTTTGGAACGGAAGTTTGTGTTTCTGAAATAGCCTGCCACCAGGGAGAGAGGGTGAAACCATGCAGTGAGAGAGAGAGACGTTGTGTGTATGTCTGAACAGATGTCCTTAATGTCTGACACTCCAGAACCCTGCAGACACCTTGGCTTGTGTCCTCAAACACATTCATAAACATGCACTGTATATTACACACATCCTCTCAAGATAGCTTCATAAACATTTACTTCATTTAATGTGCAGGCCAGGGCTACAATAAAATGCAAGTCAAAGTCAACTCACAGTTCAGTGCGCTGATAGCTCAGGACATGCACACTGCCTCACAGTCACGCAGTCCGAGAGGGAGGCCCTAACAGCAAACTGCATGCCATGCATTAACATTTAATATGACATAACCACAAAAAACAACACTGATAATGCAGTACACTACAATCATATTATGGTGAATCAATTCGCAATGAAAAGGTAAACATTTTCATTGAGTAATAACATCCTTTATTATATAGTCCACTACAAAGATAGGTGTTTTGTTCGTAAAGTGTTTATGTCCATGTTAAAATCGGTTGAAATCCGTTACTCCGCTAGGAGATAAACGGGGTGGAGTGGCGCGAAAGAGAGAAGCGAGAGGCGCATCGCTCTGAGTGACAGGAGAGAGAGAGAGAGAGAGAGAGAGAGAGAGAGAGAGAGAGAGAGAGAGAGAGAGAGAGAGAGAGATTCTGAGCGCGCGCGACGGTCACAGTCTCACTGACTTAAGATTGAGACGGCTAAAACATAGGAACGGGGAAATCCAAACCCATTTAAAAAACACACGATATAGAAAAGAAGAAAATAAACATTTCAGAATTAAATCGTGGGAAAGATGCCGTTTACCCAGACTGAGGTATGTTGCTCTAAACACTTCTTCATATTAGCTACTTGTTACCAACGGTCAGTCTGAGTGAGGCGCCTGAGGTATTTATTCTCTGCCTGGTCTGCTAAACTCTCTATTCGACTGAAAGGAGGAATAAATAAATATGTTTAAGCGCTGCTTTGAGAAAACTGATATATTCTGGCTGAATGCGTAGCTCTTTCGTTTGTCTTTCATTTGTTGAAAGCGCCTGTTTAATCAGTCTGAGGTGGCAGTCACATAGGATTTAAATGCAGGCGCTTAGAATTAAGATCTAGGATTGCGACTCTAACTCGTTCATTTTAATGACCTGTTATTAAAGGCGTGTGTATAGTCCCTAAATGCGATTGTTTGCTCATGATGCCTATTTAAATACTGGTAGCTCAACAATTTGGTGAAAATTTGCATTTGTTTTTATACTTTCAAACCTGGTGCAGACAGGAGTGCATGCGTTTTTGCAATGTAGCCTAACGTTATTCCGTCTCATAATCTAGCGATTATGAAAGAGTGTACAATGCAAACGGACGATATAGCAACCGTCTAATAGCCTTTAATTTGATATTAAATTACACTTATGACACAGGTTACAGACATGTGCATGTAATGTGATTTAAACTGAAGCACACAATTCGTATTTTTATAGTGGTTGTAAACTTGATGCTTGAGTTATGACTTTAAATGAATGTTCACAGTACAGTTCTCCTTTTCACCTCTATTTAGTCTTTCAATAAGGTACATCTTTGTAAGGAAAGAAAGAAAGAAAGAAAGAAAGAAAGAAAGAAAGAAAGAAAGAAAGAAAGAAAGAATTGCAGTTTTTGGTTGCATATTATTTATCAAAGCCAAAGGCACTCCTCTATAAATCTTCAGGGAAATCAATCAGTGAAGAGTGAGAGCGTGTGTGTGTGTTAACATGGTGGCGACCCTTCTATATTTTATCATATTTCCTTATTTCTCATCTTTTTTTCTTGCACTGTTGGTAACAGCCAGGAAAGAGTGGGGGTTTTATAGAGACACCAGCCTGTGTTCATATCCATGCCAAAACAGTGGGGCCAGTATGTAGCAAACACACTTTACACTGCATGAAAGAAGTACAGCATGGCCTGCATCATGCACACACACACATACGATACCCTTCAAACACAAGCCCAGCTATACCCCAAACTCATTTTAACCATGATTACCACCAACTACTCTTACATGTTTTATTTCACACAAGCAGCTTTGAGCTATGCATTATTTTATTGCTTAAAATATTCTATACAAAAAAAGAAAGATTTGTGCCCATCTTGTGGTCACAAAAACTCTACATGAACAACATCAATAGTGAGACATTTGGGATTAGCACAGTACTTCAGACCCAACTCAACTCACACAGCAGATTACACAGATTTAGAGAACATCAACTCTAACACAGATTAAGATGGTGGTCAAATGCAGATGCAGAGCTTTGAGAAAAGAGAGCAAAGGGCTGAGAGCAACACAGCTCAGAAAGAGAAATTTAATCTTAAAACAAAATAAACAAAACAAAACAAACAAAAATGTGATAATCGTTAATCATTACATTTAAAGACAAACCCGCAAGACATCTTCAGAATGAAGATCTTTCTAATGAAATCTGAGAGCGTTCTGTCCCTCCATTGACAGCCTACGCAATACCACTTTCAAGCCCCAGGAATGTACTAAAAAATTATTACATTATGAAAACATTGTAGCAACTTATAAATGTAATCGATTCATTTCCATCCTTTTTTTAATCAGCAGTATTTAAGTGACTTGAAGTGACTTGTGAAGGCCAAATATAATCCATACTCGGGATATGTTCTCTGTATTTAACCCATTCAAGTTAGTGCACACACACATTAGGAGTAGGGAGTAGTGAACACACATACACACTGCAAATAGTGGGCACACCCCCGGAGCAGTGGGCTGCCATTTTTGCTGTGGCGCCTGCCGCCCAGGGAGCAATTGGGGGTTAGGTGCCTTGCTCAAGGGCACCAGTCATTCCCTGCCGGTTTTGAGAATCTTTGTAAACTGAATCTGAACGTAATAAAAATATTATAATAATTATAATTGCATGAATATTTAAATCTTAGATTTAGATTTGGATTTAGATAAATACCTTATACTAATACTATTTTTTATGTTTTAAAAGCTATTACAATTATAACAATATGACAATGCAATACATTTCTCACACTTCTCATAAAGTAAAAAAAATTTACATTATGAGCTCAAGATTTTAAGTTTTGAGAAATTATTACATTAAATAATAATGTCACATTACATTATGTGCATTTTTTACATTATGTGTTGCTACAACATCATTAAAATAATCCATGTGACACGAAGAAGTGATGATGAGTCCTTTGTTTGCAAAAAAAGAAAAATGTGTGTGACATTGTCACAAGGACTGTGTTGTAAGAGCATACATGAACACGACGATGAAGAAAAAAGTAATCTTTAATAAATCCACAAGGCAGGTAAATCCAAACAGAGAGAACGGCTTTCAACACAGGCGCACATAAACGAGACTCGACAACAATGAACAGGAACTTAAGTATGCATGCAAACTGAAAAACAAAGTCCAAATGGTTTTTGACTGTGACAGACATGACCAAGTATGGAAACTAGTGCTGTCAAACGATTCAAATATTTAATCGCGATTAATCGCATTAATGTCATAGTAAACTCGCAATAATCACACATTTTTATTTATTCTAAATGTCTCTTGATTTCTTTTTGTCCCATTATTTTTTTTCTCATTTTAATGCTCTTATTAACATGGGAAATTGGCTTTGTGCAAATGTTTTTTTTTTTTTATTGAAAACAACATTGGCATATACTGTGTTCAATTTCACACTAACATTCTCACTTGGAGCAAATAATCTCTCACATTGTAACACTGTCCATCAATAAAAGGGTAAAAGAAATACTGACGAGGTCCTGATATTGATGAGGGGGCGGAGAATTCGCATCAGCTGTGAGTGTGCTAGGCTATCAAGTGGCATTTCAGACTGGACGTGCTACGATGATGATAGCTCAGTTCACAGTGACAAAACACACGGATCACTTTGGTCTTGTGAATGGAACCATTTGGCAACTTTTTAGAAGTAAACTTTCCCTTCAGAATCTTATTAGCATCCAACTCAAAACGTCACATTAAAGTTCTATTTGGCCAGCTCGCAAGCTCAAACAAGTGTGTGTAGCGTGCCTGTTGTTTTGTCGCTTTGGTTGACGAAGCAACAAAATGTCCTCACAAGCCATTAAAATGAATGGGTTTCATTGCATGCCACGTCCTGTTGCTAAAGCATGTATATAAAAAAAGACTAAAGTTTGCTAGGCCAAAAAGATTGTTAATCGCACAATAAAAAATTGACGCTGTTTTGCGTCAACGCCGTTAATAACGTGTTTAACTGACAGCCCTAATGGTAACCCATAGTCGGAATTTGTCCTCTGGTTTTAACCCATCCAAGTTAATGCACACACATTAGAAGCAGTCAGTAGTGAACACACACACACTGCAAACTGTGGACACACACCCCTGGAGCAGCAGGCAGACATTTGCTGCAAATGCCCAGAGCGATTGGGGTTAGGTGCCTTGCTCATGGTCCTTGGTATTGAGAGAGTAACAGATCGCTGTTCATTCACTCCCCCACCTACATTTTCCTGGTGGTATTAAGTATTTTAAAAATGGTAGCTGTGTAGTGTGTCAACAATCCATCAGCCGGAAGTTGAAGCCTCGCGGGAGCCGCCATTGTAGCAGAACTTCACCTGCTGTTAGCATTCCATTGACTCCCATTCATTTTGCCATCACTTTGACAGCGAATAACTTTACATCTGAGGCGTCCAAAGAATTGATTTGTCCACTATTTTTTTTTTAAAAAGACGACAATGTATAAAAGGCTCCATTACTTTGTATCTTACGTTCCGGCCCTGTGGAAGCCGTTTTTTTGTTGTTGTAAAAATAGGCTAATGATTGCATCATAACCATGCAACTTTCTATCGCACAATAGAGACATCACCGTATAGACGGGAGGAGAAGCTCGCAGGCAATCTTTTAATGTCTATGAGGCAATCAGGGAGACATGGAGGCATAAAGTCAAGGGAGAAGCCCATAGATAGAGAGTCCATAAAAGCAACGGGACAAAATATTTCAACAACGTTTTTGGGGAATTAGGTGATTCAGATTTGTCTTGGCACAGCTAATAGAAGATTTACAACTGTCAATCTGTCGTCAAGCTCAGTTTGAGCGTGCGTAGTCGCTCAGACAACAGGCAGGAAGTGCAATAATCGGGCTTCAGTCTTCTCCGATGAAATCAATGGGGTCGCTGTGTCCATTTCTTTTATGGGTGTCAATAGAAAGCTCTCAGATTTCATTAAAAAGATCTTTATTTGTGTTCCAAAGATGAACGAAATAAATAATATTTTAGGCTGAACTAACTCCTTAAGAATAAAGAAATTCTATATATTTGAAGGTGTAGTGATTTTTGTTTTTGTTTTCACTGATTTTATTTGCATTGGCAGATCTCTAGACAGCAGCTTTATTTCATAATTCACAGTTGGGCCTGTGAGATTGGCGTGTGTGTCAGTGGGGTCATTGCAGTGGGTGCATTTAAAAAAACACCGCTCTACAGATTACAATAGAGAATAAAGCTGCTTCACACATGACTGCTTTTCTACACATCTTTAAATATATCAGAGAAAAAATGCTAACAGATGGCTATATATTTAAGTCATCACTGTCAGCACCTACAGTCAAAAGACTGTTAGAAGTAGCAGAAAACGTAGTGCACAAACAGATTAATAAATATACACACAATGAGCCTTCTATACACTCAGGATTATTACAGCTAGTTCACTATAAATTATTGACTATAACCTTTGTTTCTAATTAATTGTTTTGTCATAGCATCTAATGTATTCTGCACACACAATAGAATAGAGGAAGTAGAGGAAGTGGGATAGTTGAGTGGTTTGAGGCTGGCAGACAAACT